GGGAACCCCCCTCCCCAGAAATGTCCCCCCACCAATGTCCCCTCACCCCTGGGTGTCCCCAACATCCCCAGTGTCCCCTGGGTGTCCCCTGGGTGTCCTTCAGGTGTCCTTGCTGTCCCCAGGGTGTCCCCAGTGTCCTCAGGGAGTCCCCAACATCCCCAGTGTCCCCTGGGTGTCCCCAGTGTCCCCTCACCGGGTGTCCCCAAAGTCCCCAATGTCCCCAGTGTCCCCTCACCTCACTGTCCCCTCACCCCTGGGTGTCCCCAGTGTCCCCTGACCCCTGGGTGTCCCCCATGTCCCCTCACCAGGTGTCCCCAATGTCCCCAGTGTCCCCTCACCTCACTGTCCCCTCACCCCTGGGTGTCCCCAGTGTCCCCTCACCCCTGGGTGTCCCCAATGTCCCCTGGGTGTCCCCAGTGTCCCCTGGGTGTCCCCAGTGTCCCCTCACCTCGCTGTCCCCTCGCTCTCCTCCCTCGGTGGGGCCCAGGTGGCTCCGGCGCTGCAGCTCCAGGTTTTGCTGGGGACATTGGGGACATCGTGAGGGACATCATTGGGGACATTGGGGACATCACTGGGGACATTGGGGACATTGGGGACATTGGGGACATCGTGAGGGACATTGGGGACATTGGGGACATTGGGGGGACATCACTGGGGACTGGGGACATTGTGAGGGACATCCTTGGGGACATTGGGGGACATTGGGAGACATTGGGGGACATTGGGGACATCACTGGGGACAGTGGGGGACATTGGGGGACATTGGGGACACTGGGGGTTTTGGGGACATTGTTGGGGACATTGGGGGACATCACTGGGGACATCGGGGACATTGTGAGGGACATCCTTGGGGACATTGGGGGTCTTGGGGGACATTGGGGAGACATCGTGGGGGACATTGGGGATATCAGGGTTTTGGGACATTGGGGACATTGCAGGGATTGGGGACATTGGGGACATTGGGGTGACCCCCCCGGTTTAGGGGACCCCAAAATCCCAGCGGGGTCACAGGGGAGGCGCCGGAGATTCGGGGAAGTTTTGGGGTCTGGGGCTGGTTTTGGGGCGGTTTTGGGCTGTTTTTGGGGCGTTTTTGGGATGGGTTTCGGGGTGTTTTTGGGATGGGTTCAGGGTGTTTTTGGGATGGGTTTTGGGGCGTTTTTGGGCTGGTTTTGGGGTGTTTTTGGGATGGGTTTTGGGGTGTTTTTTGGGCTGCTTTCGGGGTGTTTTTGTGGCTGGTTTCCTATCGGTTTTGGGGTGTTTCTGGGCCGGTTTGGGGCTAGTTTTGGGGTGTATTTTGGGGCTGGTTTCCTGTTGGTTTTGGGGTGTTTCTGGCCCGTTTTGGGGCTGCTTTTGGGCTGGTTTCAGGGTGTTTTGGTGGCTGATTTCCCGTCGGTTTTGGGCTGTTTCTGGCCTGGTTTGGGGTGTTTTTCGTGGCTGGTTTCCCGTCGGTTTGGGGCTGTTTCTGGCCCGTTTTGGGGGTGTTTTTGGGGTGTTTTTTGGGCCGGTTTCAGGGTGTTTTCATGGCTGGTTTCCCGTCGGTTTTGGGCTGTTTCTGGCCCGTTCTGGGGGTGTTTTTTGGGCCGGTTTCAGGGTGTTTTGGTGGCTGATTTCCCGTCGGTTTTAGGCTGTTTCTGGCCCGTTTTGGGGTGTTTTTTGGGCCAGTTTCGGGGTGTTTTCGTGGCTGGTTTCCCGTCGGTTTTAGGCTGTTTCTGGCCCGTTCTGGGGTGTTTTTGGGCCGGTTTTGGGGTACCTTGTGCAGCCCCGAGAGCTGCTGGTGGCGCAGCAGGGCCTCCCGGCTGGGGAACTGCCGCCGGCACAGCAGGCACGCCAGCTTGGCCCAGTCGGTCAGCGGCTCCTCGGGGACCCCCGGGGCGCCCCCGCGCTCCCCCTCCTCCTCACTCTCGCTCTCCCCGCTGTAGGCGGCCACCAAGCCCCGGGGGGGGCTCTGGGGGGGAAAAAA